CCTATTTCCCTTTAGGTTGCTTTGCCTATTCATCTCTCATTTTAAATTTATGTTCGCCAAAGGGTGAAAGTATTTGGACGCAGAGTTTCGAGTATGCGCTTATGCGGATTTTTTGAAGAAATGGTCTCCAGGATGTAATTGTGAAAGTCCAGATTAAAAATTTGCTAGTAACAATCGTGTTTTTTAAATAGATTTAATGAGAGAGAGAGAGAGAGAGAGAGAGAGTGTGCGTGTGTGATTGAATTCATGGAAAATTAATGATAGAAGTAGTGAAAATTTATTTAGTTGGAACTAAGCAAATTTGAAGTCTTGCTATCTTTGCAATGAATAGAATATTTTTTATTCAGCATTAAAATTGCATGCAATCGTAATTATGCGTTACTCTAAGTGATAGAGGGAGAGAGAGAGAGAGAGAGAGAGAGAATGAGCTTATAATGGATTTAATATTCCGTACGATTATTACTGCTTTTTTTGTGTAAAATTAATAACCTTAATAAATATCATTAGTGCATAAATTTTTGACTGTACGGTTAATGTTGCAACTAATGTCGTAAATGTTTTTTTTTTTTGTTTTTTTTTTTATCTTGACATTATGTAAAAGAAGGCAATTTATGAAATGTTTAAAGTATTATACATTATAATTGGCATTAGAAGTATTTAACTATATTGATATATAATGTTAATAAATAATGCACGTGGCTTGAATTGAGAGATAAGAGATTGAAATGCATATTACATGGAAAAATATAGCAAATATTTTATGCATAAAATTCTAAAATTTCAAATTAAATTACATTTATCAACTCGTTTAATTAAATTATAAATTAGAATTGTTTTTATTATAATAGTTAAGCACGCGCTATAAAGGTTTTGAGAAATTGTTTTTCTAAAATGTGCTTTACCACTCCCGAGCACCCAAATATTTTTCCATTTTTCCCGTAGCTATTTATATATCCGTGTAATTTAAAATGGCAAATGAAAAACAAATTTAGCCTTTTGAGAGCGCCGATTCATTAATACAGAAAACAATTACATCATCCATTCTTCATCCACGTGGATGAAGTCATTGAAATCGCAATCCCACGAGCACTTATTCGCATTTGTCGCACTGACCGGAGTGCGTCTGTCTTCCTTTGTGAGTACGGGAATTATTTCTCGGTCCAATTTTCCGGTGTTTTAATTGAATCTAAAATCCCATAGTCGAAGAGATGCGATGAACATTCGTAATTCTGTAGTATAAAAAACTACTAGTAAAATCTATCAAATGCAAATGTTCGGGAGGAAATGCAGGTGTATAGAGGTATATATGTGAGAATTCAAAATGTTTAAATGAATCAGAGGAAATTTGTTATTCTCTATTAAAATTTAGTACGTCTCACCTACGTATGCAATAGTTTTTAATGAGAAATTTAGTAATATTCGTTTTTTTTGTTTTTTTTTTTTGTTTTTTTTTTTTGTTTTGTACAAAACCGGATGGTTATACTTTCTTAAACGATGTCTAATGTAATATTTCACTCAAGGCGTTACGATATGTTTACAATATATTTGGATAATTTGAAATTGATCTATATATACACATGTCTTTCGTACAAATTAATCGAATAAATCATGTAAGTTTAAGGTAAATGTACTTCGATGATGAGTATGATAAGAGACATTAAACGAGCTATTCCAATGCCCAATAATACCTATATAATACAAATTAAATATTTATAAATATTTGCTTAAAAACGTAAAAAAAAAAAAAAAAAAAAAAAAAAAAAAAAATGATTATTCAAATTCGCAAATTACATAGTGAAGTCCACTTCAAATTATGAGAAAGAGATATTAGATACAAGATAACCGAAAAAAGAAGAAGTATATTAGTTTACATAATTAGTTTAAAAAACATGTTATACCGAGGCACATTTCAACGAATTCAATTAATACTTTGTATAATAGGACCACGTCAATTAAGTGACCTTGGAATCATTTGCTCTCTTAACTTTTTAGTTTTTTTAGCTCCCGTTGAGTTCACACGTTCACTAAGAAAAAAAAAAAAAAATGTTTGAAAAACCGGCTTCCTACTATTTTTTTCTTCTCCTTGCTTTTTCTAGCATGTGCAGCCGAATTTCTAGACCTGCGGACATTATCTCTTAACCTATCCAATCGTGAATCCTCAAGACTATTCAGTCGATGCAGTAGCCACTATGTTCGTTAGTAGTCGGAACTTTATTTTTCTTTGCTCTTTATTTTTTTGCTTTTCTCTTACAGTTATGGGTAGATTGAATATTCATTATTTTTATGCAATGACAATAGAAGAGGCTCATGGGGATATTGGTATTATTGAATCAATGAATAATTAGAAGTGAATTGGCAATAACCTCTTCAGTTTATGTTATTATTTGAAATATCAACTAACGAAGCACTTCTATCATGATGTAAGATAAGAAAAATTTTCAAGTTTCATTTTTCATATATTTTCAAGTCTATCGTAAGCAATTAATTGACCATTTCAGTAATTTTTGTTTGCTGCTTATGATCATTATGATTATCCCCACATAATGATCGTTCATCTTTCCGATACCAATTATTCGGAATTATTGTTATTTTCTTTTAATTCGGCACAAGTTACATACATTTTCATTTATAATATTAATAACTATATATTTTCATTAATTGTTGAAAAC